TTACCTTGAAAGTTGAAATTACAACAGCTTTCCATTATCTCTCACATAATTAACTATCTCGTCAAAATTTGATGTACATATAAACACTTTTACACAATTTCTTCACTGTTTAAACAAACTTTGTAACGTTTTGTAGAGATTTAAAGGAAAAGTGACTGAATGAGCGAAAATTGAAAATCATCGATAATTATCAATTATCGAAGTGTGTTGCAAAGAAAGGTAATTGATAGAAAAACATACAGCCAGGCAGTTGTCACTCCTACCTATGAATAACAATGTACTTATGCAGAACAAGAGATTACCGTGGGCGACAATTGCGAATTACGTAAATGAGCCGGTGCCATTGGACTCGGATACTTGTTATACTCTGCGCATTGTCTTCAACATCTGTGATTACTTCGCTCGTTGTACATTCACGTGTTAGCAACGAACGAAGGTCTCGTTGAGGCTCGTTATACCGCGCAGTGTTCAGCGAACACTTCAACTTTAGATTCGATTCTCTTTCTGTACTTTTCGCAAATGAATTTATGCCAATTTGGGAAATGAATTATGCAAAATTGCATTTCCGTAGTAGTTTCCAAACTTTATGTTAAACCTTTCAAGTGAAAGGTTTCGAATGAAATTACAATTGTAACGTGTCTTTTATTCGTTTAAAGTTTCAATTAAAAGTTCTGAAAAATTGAAATTCTTGGGCATGTGAAAATTCGTAAAAATGAGTCTTTAAGTTTGATACCGCATTTTTTACGAAAAGTAGCAAAATTTATTTGTTCTCGAATTTCACGATGAAGATTTTTATGCAATTTCTTTCTTTTGTATTTTTGTCCTTTTATGTTTCTTTTACTCTTCTTCTATTATTCTGAATTATTTCTGTTTTTTTTTTTTATGTGTTTTTGTTGGTAACTGTAGCAAGTAACGAGGTGTGCTTGTCGCGTTACTTTTTTCAGGTAATATTTCTGGTACCGTAAACTTACTTATTGACGTAAGTGCCATCAAAGTTGACTTCAAGCTGCTGTGATGTGATCACCGCATCTTTGTCAGCGCCACTGGAAGGTCGTTGAGGTGCGCCTAATGTCCCTGTCGTACAAAGTACGACAGCCACCAACACCTGGAACAATTTTCTCCTCGTCAGAACGACAGTAATAGTAAAAAAAATATATTCAATTTTCATAACGAATCATAACGATAATAATAAAAAAAAATATATATTCAATTTTCAGAACGACGAATTAAAAAAAATATATTCAATTCTCATAACGAATCGGAACGACAATAATAAAAAAAATTCAAATCTAAGAAAACTTCCAATGGAATAACTTTTCAAATATTAAATCGTCTCTCATGAAAAAAAGATGAAACGACACTGGTTGCATAACGGACATGATATACTGCGAAAAATCACGCACTCTAAGCCTACATTAATCTCAATTGCCTTAATCACGAGGTACTATCGCGACAGGAACGTCGTTTCGTGAAAAAAAAACATATTACAAGGATTCTTCAGATTCCGAGGTGTAAATTACACCGAAAAAGCGAACAATTGTACTAATAATCAGCGTATATTTATAATTTGCTTAATTAACAAGTGTTTTCACGACATATATAACGAAGTCCAACAAAGCTCGATTCTTTTCCTCGATCTTGAAATTATCACAACTGCAACATCGTGTACTGCACACATACTCGAGATAAAGACGTGAAATAGAGACACTAGACGACAAATTAGAAGCAAATATATTTCACAGAGCCATTCATTATTTGGGTATTTTGCAATTACCAGAAACACAAAATGGGAAAAAGAAAACTCTTGAGCACAACAGTGAAATATTTATAGTTTCCTGTCGACACAACGGAATCGTCAAATTGAAACTTTTATCCACCCGTTTCAATGAAATGTCGAGCGTTACAATAGCGTCGTCTCACTGTGCGCCGCGCGGCGTCGATCTTGAATAGGCGTCGAGCGGAATTCTCGCCAATTAAGCTTAATTGGAATGCAAGTTTTTAACCCCGTCTTTCGTGACCGACGATCACAGGTAGCGCCTGGGAAATCCGTGGACCGTAAGATGTGCCGAGCCCTAACACCGTTCCCGAAACCTTTTGCGTTCAAATATTCATAGAATCCGTGAAAGTCTTAGCCGTAGATGGCGTGGCGCTGTGTGGAACGACTGCAAAGGGCAAGAGAAGATGATAATGCCCAGAGAGACTGCACGACGCGGTTACATCAGTTGCAAATGACATTATGAAATACAACGTAATGGCAGAATGAAAGTGGTATCCGTATAATATGCGACGCTTTTTTTTTTTACCTCCGCACGACCGTGGAACGTGTAATTTCATTCAAGAGACCTCATCCAGCAGTGAATCTGCCCCCGAGAAAAATGTTTGCACCCTAAATGTCAGTGTAATCGGATGGATCACTTTTCACTCGGTGACTTTTCGTCTACGATAGGTGTTACGCGGAGAGATAAGTTAAAGGTTCGTCGTTCACATTTTCAATTTTTCTGGCTACATACATTACATTCTTCGTTTCCCTGTTTAGTATCAAATGGACGCAAGCAATGGTAGTATAGGAACCGACGGAAAAATATTGATGGACCCCCAACCGGGAATCGAACCCGGGACCTTCGGCTTAGCAAGCCGAGGCTTTGCGCGCTACGCCAACCACTCCCCCTGTATTCTCTCCTGCCGGTTTCCTATTTGGGTATAGAGGCCCCGATACTATACTCGGCCATCCTGAACTGACATTCGCCCTCGAATGTCCTCAGTGCAACACAACTCAACACTTTCGGGCACACTCTCCCACACAGTGGCACACAGCCGAAACGACGCATTTTTGGGAAACGTGCAACCCTCGAGATGTTTTCATCTCACAGCGCCTGACTTCGTGCAGAGGTAGATGCCTCCATCCAGGACGAGCCCCCATATGTAGGAACCGACGACGGAAAAATATTGAGGGATCCAACGGGAATCGAACTCGGGACCTTCGGCTTAGCAAGCCGAGGCTTTGCGCGCTACGTCAACCACTCCCTCTGTATTGTCCCGTGTCGGTTTCCTATTTCATCTTCTGGGTGTATGGGAGGCCCTGATACTACAGTAGATATGTGTGTTTTTCATTGAGTGGAAGAAGTTTGATTAGAATGTAGTTTGGGTTGTATAATTTTGACAGAGAAAGTAGAATTCTATTTAGTATTGGGTTGTTGGGAAACCGTCGTATCTCTGTTTCTAATTGACACAGCGATAAATGTTAAAAGGTATTTTTCTCGTCAGTTCAAGGCGAATCCAACGCACTACCTAAATAATTCGTAAGATGAACAGGGTCGAATATAAGTCGAATTATAGTTTTTTAAGTGAAGCATGGATGTTGAATTTTTCGTGGCAACGCTCCACCGTAGAAAATATAGTTCGTCTTGGGAGTAATTTAAGGGGTACTTCGGATTTATCTTCGAATAACGAGTAAAATACCTTTTGGTTTTTATCACTGTCTCGATTAGAAATAGAGATACGATGGTTTGAATTTTTACACCCAATACGAAGAACAATAATTTGCATTTGTTTGTTTGGTAATTAAAGAAATGAAAAACGTGAACAGATATTTTTCGTTATGGTAAAAATATTTTGAGTAACGTTTTTTCTATCTACTTGCTGTATGGGAATTTTGTTCGTTTAATTTCTGTTACATTCTTCTTCTTCCTTAGTTTAATTGTTAATAAATGAAGGTAAATCGTTTTTTCTTGTACTAATAGTAAATATGTTTCCACATAAAATAACTTAAATATTGTTTATTCACTATTTTCTCTGTTGAAATTGTGCAACGCTAAATGAATTATAGATTGCTTATAATATACACCAATATTGAATCTAGCACTAATTCTTTATAAATTTGAAATTGATATTGTGGAGAGAAATGGTAATTTTAATGATAAAAAATTGCTAACTCTTTTCTGGAAATTTTTGTGTAACATTCAGTTCACCGTGATTCCAACATTTTGCTCAGTAGTGTACTATAACGTGTCCTTTAATCGTGAAAGAGAGATAATGCTTCGCGTACAAAATTATAATTGCAACTAATTAAAATTTACCGAATTTTGCTACTCGATTTTACTACAAATTTAATTTTAAAATAAAAATATCGTTTTACGTTTCACGCTTTTCCACCGTGAAACACAATTTCATGCAACATGCACCAAACTGTGTAAAGAAAAATTTTCGTTCTCCGATTATTGGCCAAAATTTTGGTAAAAATACGACAAAAATAGTTGCACCATTAACAAAAATTAATTTTAACTCCAACTCACGTTTCCATTTATAGACACAAGCTTACCAAACGTAGTTAATCCACGATACATTTCCTTTTCCCATCTAACACCGTATTAAAACGGTAAATAACTAACGAATGCACAGTCGGTGAATAAAAATCGTAAGTCAATGTGAAAAAACTGTACTTTTAAGTACGGTACGTACATAAATGACAAGGTAACCGTCTAATACTGTTACAGATCGGATTGCGCGACCATGCCCCCTAATCCAGCTCGTAACGCGTTTCTAATTACCAATCACGGAGAGCGGCGCGGCATCAATGGAACCTTATCCGCGACAGGATTTCATTCTCGTAACAATGTAATCGATATTTCGATTCTCCTTGACCGTATGACCGAGCTGGAACAAGCAATCGCTTCCTACGTGTCGTATTCGCCGGTACAGACAATAGAACGCGGAGAAGGCCAAACGAAGCCGGTCACCGGGTAAGAAGAAGAGAAGGAAGGAAACAGAGAGACCTAGCGGGGAATGCAACCAGACGTAAGAGTAAGTAGCACTTTATGCACAGATTTAAGAGTTGGTTAGCGCGAGGAATGCAGGCCTGATTTGATGGTTGTATCATTCTCCAACACCACCGATTTTCAACCTGTGTGCTGTGAGAGATTCACAGGTGTCTCCAAAATTTTTTAATGCAAATTGAGAAAGTTGAAAAAGTAACCGAAGAAAATATTCTTTTCTTTTGTTTTGTTATACTTTTTCGTTACTTTGGCGAAAAAATGTAATACATTTTTTACGGAGTTGTAGAATTTTAGTAATTAACCCCCTGCTGGCACCATTACGGTGACATTATTAACTTTATTCGAGAAAATAAAGCGAATCAACGGAATAAATGAAAATAAACAATTTCATAATAAATTTCGAATTTTTTCTTTTCGAAAGAAAGTTTCTGATTTTCCAAAGTTTCACTGCAAAAGTGAGAAGTGAAGAAAATTCTCGGAGCGTAAAGGGTTAATGTGTGTCGTGAGATAAAAGAGGTTAAAAATCGATGGTCTAGTATAATAGTAGAAATTGGGCACACTTATTGTCACTATTAGTTCAAGTGATAATATCGACGAATTGGATCGTGCAAAATTGCATAACAGGAGAGTGAGGTTAGGTGAGCGAAGCTAACCTCTCTTTGCTCCTGCGTGCCATTCTGTTCAGTATCAATTATTCAGTACTGGATTCCCCTCCAAAATTCCGCTCCAAAAAGTTCGTAAAGCGAATTTTAATACCTGTACTTAGTTCGTGAGGATTTTTCTCTCTTTGCTTCGACCCGAAATTGATCGTTCCACGTGTGATTCCTTGTCAGGCGTCACGTGTTACGCGACACGAGTAAAGGGGAATTCCCGGACCAATGCGAGAGATTCGTCTGTTTGTTCACACCGAAGTACGAAATTTTGCGCTGTCGTAACGAGTATTTCACGTTGATCTGCTGAATTCGGTGCCTTTTTTTTCTACGTTCTTCCTTGCTTTTACCTCACGAATTTGCAAACCGCCTGCGAAGAAAACGCGTCGAAAGGCGAAATAAATCCGCCAGCGGAGAAAACGCGTCGAAGCACGAGATAAATTCTCCAGCGGAGAAAACGCGCCTTAAAATGCAAAAAAAAAAAAATTGTCACAACTTGGCAGTCTTAAAAAAAATTTTCGCGTTGATGTGAACACACCGATCGCCTCAAAATATTTCGCGTTCATGTGAACACACCCACCGCCCCAAAATATTTCGCGCTGGTCTCCGCGTATTTCTCAACCCTTTCGCGACCAATGGAACGCAAACGGCCCACTTGAGTACTCTCGCGAAAAAATTGATCCGAATTTAGTATATCCATTTTAAATACGACAATCGGCAGATAAATGAAAAATTCTTGGGTCACGACAAGAGGGGTCGGTTTTAGGTTAACTCGACGCGGACGAATCGGTGTACATATCCGAAACGTTACAATTGTTTCGCGTGGCGAGTGGAAATGACAAAGCCCGAGAAAATTTCACAAGTGTTGCGCGGAGGAATAGAAGAGGAATTATGTACCCGGTGGCGGTAATAATGACGTGCCGCGTCCACCGGCTCTTCCCGCCGTGCAACGTGCAATCAGACAGATTACGAAAGAACCGGAGAGACGCGAAGGCGCATCTTCTTTTCATTCATAAGGTCAAACGATCATTGACAAGGGGGAGAGGCTGTTTGACAGATGCACCAACACGTCTCGATTATGCATGTTCTTTCGATTGTTCGTTTCGTTCCTACTTCTTCTGTTCCGAGGTGTTACTTCAGATTATGCGTGACACTGATTTTCAACAGGTATGCCGCGAGAGATCCACAGGTGTGTCTATGATTTTTCAACACGAGTTGAGAAAGTTGCAAAAGTAACGGAAAAAAGTATTCTTTTTTTTTTTAGAAAATTTGTCAAAAATGTATAACTTTTCGGTAGATGGACAAAAAAAATGTAGAATAATTTATGCGTGACAAAATCGTTGGTATGTGAGATTAGGATTGACACTGGAACAGTCGTATAGTGACACGGCACGTGTTCAAAATTTAGAAAGAAATGAAATTTGGAAATTTTGGATTTCATTTCGTAGAACTGACGAAGACAATCTAGGAAGTACTTTTTAACGAATTATTTCAAAAATTAAATTTGTAGCGTATAAATATCGATGACATGTGAATGGAAGTATTTTCACAGATTACTGATTTTTGATTATTTCTTTTCTCTATACACTTGTACACTGTGTGTACATTCGTTCCCTATTTACGTTATTTTTCCACGTTTTCCAGCCACTCGGTTAATACTTTGTTCGAAACATTTCATCCTTTGTAATCATCTGTGTGCACATTAAAACCAATTAAATCAACTTGGAAACAGCCTATAATTTCCTCGTCACGACAGCAACGTGCAATCCTTCGAAACCTCGCAAACGCGGAAGGATAACTTTACGCTATCTGAACTTACGAAAAATTTGATCAGTGACCTCGACAGGCTTGTCAAACTTAAAGAAAGAATGCTCAATCGAATTTCAATTTTGTCCCCTATATTGAGAAACGAAATTATCAAAAGTATCACACGAACTTTACTCAGAAGTGAAACAATTCTGACGCATACGTGTCGTCCTGAATTTCCAATTGTGACGTTCTGTGTGCCATTTATTCTTTGCTGTTCAACGAAGGCAAGTAACACTTCAAATAGACGAATTATTAAACAAAGAAAGAAGTCACAGAGTCTCTCGTTGAAAGTTTGAGATAATTGAAAGAAAAGAAGACACTGCAATTATTTTATTCAATATTCATCCGTTGGAAGTGTTACTTGGCTGAATTGAATAGCGGAGGAAAAATAGGACACGGAGGATGTCGCAGTTAGAATCCGCGGCGACACCTATGCGTACAAAAGTATTCGGGATCTCCCCGTTCGGTGTCACGCTTTATTCCGTTGCAATTGTCCTACCTCGAAGAAAAAGGTGTCGACACGAATGCGTCGTGATGCAATCCCGCTTGTCGTTCGTAGTTCGTAATTGTTATGATAATTCTATTCTTAATTTCACGCCCGTCCTCTGTTCCCTCGTTCGAATTCCGTTAATTTTGATTGTATGCAATCGCAACACCGATCATTAACGAAGATCTTCGAATGCCGACGCTGCCTTTTTCATCCTGCATCGAGAACGAAACGGCGATTTGGAAAAGGAGATACGAGCAGAGGAACGTATGAGAAGAATAATGAATAATACATCTGATCTATCCTTTCATAGAAATTTTTGTTCACTTTCGTTCGACTGTAACCGAGGAAATTTTGTAATTTAGAGGACTTTATGGGAATTTTTGTCCACTTTGATTCGACTGTAATTGAGGATTTTTGGAATTTAGAGGATTTTAGAGAAATTTTGTCCACTTCGATTCGATTATAAAAGAGGAATTTTTGGAATTTAGAGGATTTTAGAGAAATTTTGTCCACTTTGATTCGACTGTAATCCAGGAATTTTTGGAATGTAGAGGATTTTAGAGAAATTTTGTCCACTTTGATTCGACTGTAATCCAGGAATTTTTGGAATGTAGAGGATTTTAGAGAAATTTTGTCCACTTTGATTCGATTATAATCGAGGAATTTTTATTTTTCAGAAGATTTTGTAGAAATTTTGTCCACTTCGATTCGATTACAAAAGAGGAATTTTTATATTTCAGAAGAGTTTTCATTTAGAAAGATTTTGTACAAATTTTGGGTCACTTTGATTCGACTATAACCCAAGAATTTTTGTAATTTAGAAGATTTTTCATTTAGAAAGATTTCATACAAATTTTGTTCACTTTAATTCAGAAGATTTTACATTTCCAAAGGATTTTTCTAACAATTTTTCATTTCTAAAAATCTTTCCAATCATTCACAGAAATTTTCATCGGTCCTATATCAAACCTAGACATATTAAAAAAAACATGTATTATTTACACCGATAATACATTTAACAAGTACATTAAATTTTCACCAGCTTATTTTACACCTTCGATTCGACTAAAATTTCGCCGTGCATTTTGCACACCCGTTACAACTCGTTGATAAATAAATAAACAAAGGATAGCTGATATATTCTGTTACGAGAGTAAAATTTCTGAGAGCGGTTTGCCTCTTGCGAACTCAGTTAAAATGTCTCCGGCTCGGTGCTAATGAAGGAATAAAATCGTAATGAAAAAGACAAGTACTGCCATAGTGAAAAAGTGATATCTACCGTACAAGTAACATAACGGTAATAACGAAGTTATATGGACAGGTAATCGGTTTTAAAATTATCCTGATGCAACAGCAGCGTAATTCAAAAGTTACACACAAGAGGTGAAAGAAAAATAATATCTTCTGTCAATATGCAAGTTTCGAAATTTCATAGCGAAACGGACTTCCAACGATGGGAAAAAAGAATCTTTCGAAGAACTTTGGATATAAAATGCTTATCATAATCGATTAGAATAAAATTTTAACAAAGTGAAAAATTTATCGACGCAATTCGATTTGTTCTATTTTATCAGAATTAAAAGACACTTTTTTGCTGTCGAGAAGAATTTGAGAAAAAATTGTTTCTTTTTGCGAAATTACACGTGTAATTTGAAATATCACAGAAACACGAGGAAAACGTTGATTCAATCGCGATACATTCGGTAAAATATCAAATTTCAAAGTGTAAATTTTCACATCGAAGAGAATATATCACGATTGTACTTTCACGTTTCCTCTTTTTTCTTCCTTTTCAAAACGTATATCAATAAAAAGAAAAAAAACCCGCTTCGCGTTGACGCGTTACACGTGTATTTCGTGTTTATCTCGCGCGTTTTATCCCGGTGAATTTCAAAGCAGCGCCGCGAATAAAACGAAACATTATCGCATTCGTGCAATACGAAGTGATGACACAAAATGAGAGAAAAAATAGGAGAAGTAGAGGCGAGGTGAAACTGGTACGATACAAAATGTGCTCTGTTACATCATTCGGAGCAGACTTTGAAACACTTCTCCACGTGCACTGTTTGTATTTCACTTGTAACAGCTGTCATCACTGAAACAGCTATTCAATGACATGCTATTCTCAAATCAATTCTATAACTTTTCTCCAGTAACCACAAAATATGACAAAAAATTACATGGAAATACAAAAAAAAAAACAATTCTAAATTACTTCAATTGGTATTTAAAAAATAATTATTTCTTCACCTGTGTAAAAAGAGCTACGTTCAATGCAATGAGATACTATTCTCAAATCACTCCCCCAACTTTTCTCCAGTAACCACAAAATTTAACAGAAAATCACATAGTAATAAAAAAAAGCAATTCTAGATTACTTCAATTGGTATTTAAAAAATTTCTTCACCTGTGTAAAAAAAGCTACGTTCAATGCAATGAGATACTATTCTCAAATCACTCCCCCAACTTTTCTCCAGTAACCACAAAATTTAACAGAAAATCACATAGTAATAAAAAAAAGCAATTCTAGATTACTTCAATTGGTATTTAAAAAATTTCTTCACCTGTGTAAAAAAAGCTACGTTCAATGCAATGACATAATATTCTCAAATCACTACCCCAACTTTTCTCCAGTAACCACAAAATTTGACAGAAAATCACATAGTAATAAAAAAAAGCAATTCTAGATTACTTCAATTGGTATTTAAAAAATTTCTTCACCTGTGTAAAAAAAGCTACGTTCAACGCAATGACTGTTATCACTAGCACGTTAACCATAAAATTTAGCAGAAAAATGCACGAAAACGTAAAAAGAACCAATTCCAGATTACATCAAGCGACATTTAAAAAACAATTCCTTGACCCGTGCAAAAAGAAGAAACCGTCGATTTTCCCAAACCTTCCTTTACATACGTACACCTACCGAACGTATCCGAAGAATTGAACGCGAGAGACGAACAACGAAACTCATCCGAGAAACAGCGAATATTTTCCCCGGGTAACGAGCATAAACGAAATACACGTCCCGTGTGCTTTTATCACAGACGGTAATTCACGGTCGTGTCGTTGGCGTTCAGGCCTAAGAGTACTTACGGAGAGCCCCGGTGGCCGATGAAAACGGAGTCTCGCAGGCTACTACTAACCGGCCCCGCGTGTCTTACGAACTGAGTACCTACCTTGATAGTGAACATAATCTCTCTGTCACACGGACACCGGCGATGAAGCGGTTAGGATGCAGATGGGTTGGTACTTGTGCTTCTTCGTCAGATGCTTCGCCTCTTTATATACACGACCGTAGCAACGTGGTACAGTGAAAGGGGTCATCCCTGCCCTCTTCACAATGCACTTCTTCTGACCAGTGCATCTTCGGTAAAATATGCTCGGATGAACCGCGGATAGAGATTTTTCATCGTGACATCTGCGAAACGCGTAACGATGGACAGGTCACATTCGGCACGGTGAATTATTTCTGCGTCCTCACGGATGTCGCCGTCTTTATACCGCTCTTTTTCGCCTTATTTCGTATTCTTCTTCTTCTTCTTCTTCGCCTGCTAGATCCTCGTCCGAAAGAGCGCCGACGATCCGCAAAGTTCAGATATTCCGAGGAGGAAACAGGCGACGTAGAGGTGAGTAGGTGGGCTCCTTGCTCGTAGTTCAGGTGGAAGATTTTTTTCGAAGAATTTCACCGATGGAAAGAAGAACGGTTCGACGAATGTGGGATATTTGTGTGAATATGTTTTTGGATATTTTGCTTTTTTTTTTTTGGTTGTTCGCTCTACTCGACTGTTGCGGTTAATCAATGTTGATGTGCTAATTGGACGTTTAGGTTTGCTCAAACTTTCTTGCTTCGAAGGTAATCATCGAGCTTTTCGAACACCGAATTTGTGAAACTGTGAACCGGCACATATTGCGACACATATTGACAGAATCTTGTAAGTTTCTCATTTTGAATTGCTGCTATTGCCTGCAGTGCTTGCCTGTTCTTGTGTAATCTAATGGGAAAGCTACTCGTAACAGTAAATTAATAAATAAGTAAATGTAATCGACGAGTGTGCAATCTGGAAAATACAGTTTCGGTGAAATTGAGTTTGTCTAGTGGCGGTTTGATGCACAGGTGTAAAGGAAGAGGAAATTGAGGTTTCTTTTGGACGAAGTGAGAGCTTGAGATTGAACGAAATTAGGGGATGAAATTGAATTGGGTGGGAAAAATTGACGGATTCTGGAAAGATTAAACAAGAAGAAAAGACAAATAATGTCTTCTTTATTAATAAAAAAATCTTGAAGCAAAGTGAAACGTAATTTATCCGCGAAATATGCAGATAAATGCAACGTTAATAAATGACAAAACAGCTAAAAAAAATTAAAGAAGAAAATGGGAATGAATAAGGATTAGCAACTGAATATTGTAAAATACAAAAACAGACTTTTACTACTATACATGTATATATTTTTAATAATAATATTTCAATAATCGTACTATAAAATTGTACTATTTGTTCTTACTATTCATATTTTTCTAATACAATATTTCATTACTCATACTTTTCCAATATAATATTTTATCATTCATATTTTTCTAATACAATATTTTGTCATTCATATTTTTCCAATATAATATTTCGTTACTCATATTTTCCTAATCTCATCGCTCATATTTCCTCATATTTAAATTCTTTCATTTGCTCATTTACTGTCGCGTAGATTTGTCACACACACAATTCTCCCACTTCAACTGACATTGTCCGCAGCAATAACTGCGAACGCGAAACGCAGCAACGCAACGAGGAACGGAGATACAAGGAGGCAGAAGAGAAGTAGGAAGATAATTGGCATTTGTTACAAGGTTCTACCGGATGTTTCTTCAGAATTTTTACAAAATCGAAGAAAACAGGCTATCGTTGAATATATAAAGGGATGCAGTGTCTAGGTCATGTACAACTGTGTTCGCTTCGTCTCCTCCGGAGGACATCTTCGTTTCCTTGAATCATTTCTTCGTACACCATTCGCGGCGAGTTCGCATTGTGCCTGTACTACCGTACGAGTTGCACGGTGTCATTTATTAACATCGCATTTACATGACATAACATTAATTACACTTGTATCACGTTCGTACCACTTGGAAGTTCCGCAAAATTTCGTCTACACGCGATATTTATGAACTTTCTCGTGCGTTGGGCGCGGAAATAAAACTAGCATTACAACGGTAATTCTACACTCGTGCTTTCTATGAAACGTAATAATGCAAACTGTTCTTTCGCAATATGAAGAAAAAGCTTTGTCACAAGCAGTAGAAAATATCAGAACCAGAATTATTTCTTGTGACAATTATTTTCAACGTGACAAATTTTCTGAAAAATAATACTCGACGGTTCTTTTCTTCTTTCTGCGTTGAAAACTCGTTAAACAGAAATCTCGGATAATTGAGCAAGTGAAAGACTTTGATTGCTCGCTAAGTAGAATTATTTAAACGTTCGTTCTTCGAATTGAATTTTCTCAGAGCTTCGCCCGTTCAACGTGACAACTGCTAGTCGATTAGAAGTTCTCAGACGACGGTGGAAATGGAAAAGACAGCGAATCTGAATTTTTACTTATCACACTTGCGGAGTGAAGTTCGATCGTGTCGCCTTTCGAGTTAATTATAAAATATTGTAACGCGGCAGGCGCGCGTTGACATTTAACAACTTTTGCTATTTTGTCGGTAATTGCGACATTTTCGAGGAGGCGGAAAAACAAGCCTGACCGAAAACGCGAAAGCGTGCTGTTAATATCCGCTGAAATTTAGGTAAATTGCCTCACGGCTCGCCGCGATATTAGAATATCGGCGTTCTAACGCGTCTGTCTTCTGCTTAACCCTGACATTTGCGGTGTAAGTTCCAATCGACGATAATGCATCATCGACTGCTTGCATGTAATTTTCGCGAATTTGCGAATAGCTTTCATTCCATAGTCGTGAAGCAACGGTAAAAATAATTAGAAATCTCTTACGAAATTTTTCGTTACGTTGCAAAGTGTTGTGCTGTGTACAGAGAAGTTTGTCGATTCGTGGGTTGATTAATATACAGGGTGGGTGAAGTAAAATGAACCATTTAATGTGTTTAGTGTTGGAACATTTGTATACCTAATTTATGTGATTTCAAAGAGTGATTTCAACATTTTTTTGATGGAAGAAATGGCGAAGGTTGAAAAGAAGTTTCTGGTTTGATTGAAAATTTTGGAGTTTGTCATTCTAAGGTCATGCGAAAAATTTATTACATTTTTAATATAGCATGTTAATATAAAATTATTGTATTAATGCTAATATAAAAAATATGTTGCAGATCAAATAAAAAATGGAAGAAAAGAAAGAAATGGAAATAATTTTTTTTTCATCTTATTCACCCTTTCAAACTTTCAAAATTTTCTCACGCCGCTATAGCTGGAGAAGGCGGTCTGATTAATGAATAGTAAAAATTGACAGGCTGCGACATTTTGTGATTATGTCTTAACGTAGATAATATTTAAAAGATTGCATTCTAATAGTAATAAAATTAATATTTAAAAGATTGCATTCTAATATTAATAAAATTAACGTTTACAAAATTGCATTCTGATATTAATAACACTAAGATTTTAAAAATTGCATTCTAATATTAATAAAATTAACGTTTGAAAAATTGCATTCTAATATTAATAACACTAAGATTTTAAAAATTGCATTCTGATATTAATAAAATTAACGTTTACAAAATTGCATTCTGATATTAATAAAATTAACGTTTGAAAAATTGCATTCTAATATTAATAACACTAAGATTTTAAAAATTGCATTCTCATATTAATAAAATTAACGTTCAAAAAATTGCATTATAAGAATTAATAAAATCAATATTTAAAAATTGCACTGTAGCATTAATAAAATTAAATTTTCAAAAATTGCTTTCTAATATTAATAAAATCAATGTTTAAAAAATTGCATTCTCATATTAATAAAATTAATATTTTAAAAGATTGCATTCCAATATTAGTAAAATCAATGTTTAAAAAATTACATTCCAACATTAATAAAATCAATTTACGCTTCTTCTGGTTTTACGAAGCGAACACTGCGCATTGTTATCTCAGAACGAACCGTTCTCGCGCGCTGTTTATCAAGAAGTTGTAAATTCGCGTGTTCTGTGCATCAGTTT